CTCTCTCCCCCTCCCTGTCTTCTTCCTTCCCACTCTATCTGAAGAAAAAAGTAAGTTGCTAAAAATGAAGTGTAAACCAAGTATGAAAGATTTTAAAATGTTATTAATATAACAAATGTAAGGAAATATAAACCAAGCCTCCACAACTAAGTGTATTTTCAACAAAGATTTCAAAAGAGAAGAAAATTAAGGTGTACAAAATTTAGTAAGTGAGCAGGCTGAATTTAATTATCTCCAAATTAAAATTTGAAATGGGTGAAAACACTGTTTTCTTGCCTGGGAACATACTGGTTTCATACAATATAAATACAACATATGTATTAGATGGCAACTATGTTAATCAGAGTAGTAGTATTCCTTCTCTTTTGTTCACTAAAACATTGGTTTAAAAATGCAAGGTCAGCCCTGGCCAGTTTGGCTCAGCGGTTAGAGCGTCCGCCTGCGGTCCGGAGAGACCCAGGTTCGGTTCCTGCTAAGGGCATGTGCCTCGGTTGCGGTTTGTCCCCGACCCTGGTTGGGTCGTGCGGGTGGCAGCCACTCGATGTGTCCCTTTCACATCGATGTTTCTATCTCTCTCTTCCTCTCTCTCCCTCCTGTTCTATCTGAACAAAAAAATGAAAATATATCTTCGGGTGAGGATAAAAAAAAAAAAAAAAAAATGCAAGGTCACACTAGCCAGGTCACTCAGTTGATTAGAGTGTCGTCCTAGAACTCCAAGGTTGAGGGTTCAATCCCTGAATGCATCAGTAAGTGGAAAAACAAATTGATTAGAGTGTCGTCCTAAAACTCCAAGGTTGAGGGTTCAATCCCTGAATGCATCAGTAAGTGGAACAACAAATTGATGTTTCTGTGTCTGTCTCTCTCTCTCTTCAAAATCAGTTAAAAATTAAAAAAAAAATATATGATCATAAGCAAGCTTTTCTTTGGACAAGGAACTGTTTCCAGATGCTGCCCAGGGTGAAGTGGCAATTACTGCAATTCGGGAACCACAGCAAACAGAGGCCTTGCCAGCAAGGCCTGCTGTGAGCTCCTCTTCAAAGCTGTCCTAACTTTCTGGACCTAGTGAACCTTAGACCACTAAATTAATGAATGGAACCTTATATTCAATGTTATTACATGGTCTACAGGAGGCTCTCACTAAAAAGGGGAAAAAAAGGTAAGTATGTGAGGTGGTGGATGTGTTAATTAACTCTGGGGAATCCTTTCACAATGTGTAATAAATCAAATCATCACATGTACACTTTAAATATCTTACAATTTTGTCAGTTATACTGCAATAAAGCTGGGAAAATATGAAACCAAAGACTTCATAGCAAAAATAATTTTTTAAGAGATTTAATTGTATACGAAGAAATCAGTCAAGTAGCCCTGGCCAGTTCAACTCAACGGTTAGAGCGCCGGCCATGGACCAGAGAGGCCCAGTTTCGGTTCCCACTAAGGGCACGTACCTCGGTTGCAGTTTGTCCCCGGCCCTGGTTGGGGTTGTGTAGGTGGCGGCTGCTCAATGTGTCTCTCTCATGTCGATGTTTCTCTCACTCTCTTCCTCCCTCTCGCCCTCCCGCTCTATCTGAAAAGAAATGCAAACATGTCCTCAGGTGAGGATAGAAAATAAAATAAAAAAGAAATCAGTGAAGTATAATTTGATGAGACTCAAGAGGAAACCCACAGAAAAGCTTTGTGTAATTTGGATGTCAGTTGTAAAGAGATAACAATCTCATTGCTAATGAAAATCCAGCGCAGTTATCTTTAATGAGTATTGGTATGGCTTTTATTAGAGGTTCCTACAGATTAATGTCATGTTTTCCACAAGTACTATGCAAAGTTGTTTCTCTTATTGTTTTCCATAAAGATAATTGTTGCTTTAATAGCAGCTGCCTCACTAACGGAAACACAAAGATTTACCATATATCCGGAGTATAAATTGATATCAAATTGAAGTGAAAAAATGCTAATATTCAAATGTTCAAAAGGTAAAAGTCTCAAAGCTGATTGAGGTCCTAAAGAACTCTAATTCAAGTTCTTCAAATACGGAAGTGGTTAAGAAACAGCCTTGGAATCAAACAGACATGAATTTAGGTCTTTCTCACCAATCACTAAGGCTGTGACTTGGGCAAGTTATTTAACTTCCCCAATGATATGCAATCCCTCTGGTTTGTTAAAATTGATGGGCAAGTCCGGCTGGTGTGGCTCACCGGTTGAGTGTCGACCCATGCACTAAGAGGTTGCTGGTTTGATTCCCGGTCAGGACTCATGCCCAGGTTGTGGGCCCAATCCCCAGTGGGGTGCATGCAGGAGGCAGCCAATTGATGTTTTCTCTCATCGATGTTTCTATCTCTCTCCCTCTCACTTCCTCTCTCTCTAAAATCAATAAAGGGGAAAAAAACCAAAAAACACTAGAAACTTAAAAAAAAAATTGATGGGCAAAATTAAGACATTCAGTCTTGAAGTACTTACTCAGATGATGACTGTCAAGCACTAAGAACAATGCCTCATTTTTTTTTTTCCATTTTTTGTACAGACAGAGTGGGAGGGAGAGAGAGGAAGAGAGAGAGAGGGAAACATCGATGCGAGAGGGACACATCGAGTGGCTGCCACCCACACGACCAACCAGGGCCGGGGACAAACTGCAACCGAGGCACATGCCCTTAGCGGGAACCGAACCCGGGTCTCTCCGGACCGCAGGCGGACGCTCTAACCGCTGAGCCAAACCGGCCAGGGCCAATGCCTCATTTTTTTAAAAAAATTTTATTTATTTGTTTTTGTTACAGCTTTGTTGTCTATGTTCATTGGTCATGCATGCATGTAAGTTCTGTGGTTTATCTCTTCCCCCACAACCCCCCTCCTCTGAGGCTTGTCAGTCTGTACCTCACCTCTATGTCTCTGGGTTAATTTTGTTCAACAGTTTGTTTAATTCATTATATTCCACAATGCCTCATTCTTAGTACATCATATAAATAATAGCTATAATTTTTATTTACTTATTTCTTTCTTTAATCCTCACCTGAGGATATTTTTCCATTTATATTCAGAGTGGGAGGGAGGCAGAGAAGAAGAGAGGGAGGGGGAGAGAGAGAGAGAGAGAGAGAAACATTGACATGAGAGAGATACATCTACTGGTTGCCTCCTGCAGGACCCTAACAGGAAACTGCAACCAAGGTACAGAATCAAACCCGCAACTCTTTGGTCTGCCAGCCCACACTCCAACCGCTAATCCAAACCTGCCAGGCACTATCATTTTTATGATTATTAAGGTGTAGTGATTTTCCCAAAGCCACATATTAAAAATAAATTGACCTTGCCCTGGCCGGTTTGGTTCAGCGGTTAGAGCATCGGCCTGCGGTCCAGAGCGACCGGGTTCGGTTCCCGCTAAGGGCATGTACCTCGGTTGCAGTTTGTCCCCGGCCCTAGTTGGTCGTACGGGTGGCGGCCGCTCGATGTGTCCCTTTCACATCGATGTTTCTCTCTCTCTCTCTCTCTCTCTCTCTCTCTCTGAACAAAAAAAAATGGAAAAATGTCCTCGGGTGAGGATAAAAATAAATAAATAAATAAGTTGACCTTACCAAAATGTGCTCTCTAGATTACTAATTTGACACTGGGGGTGTTTGTCAAATCAGGCAACCTTTCAGTGCACAGGATGATGCCCAACCAACTGAACCACACTGGCCCTGGCCAAGGCAGTCTTTTCTATATTTTGATATAGTGCTTGAAAGAAATGACCACTACTTTGAAGTTCTACCAATTTCTGCTTATTTTGCAACTGTTTGGCAAGGTAATTAAGGGAGCAAAGAACAATTTCTTGTAGAAATTGCTTTAGTGGGTATTTGTGAATGGTAGGTAAAATGACAGCAATTCAAATGAACTTCAGTTGTTTTCGAGTATGTGTTAGGTTCATTAAAAAGATTTCCAGGAAAGAGATTTCCATTCAATCATTCAGCAACACTAATTGCACACCTTTGTGGTAGGCACTGGGGAGACAAACATAATTATAAGGAAGGGAGCCCTGGCCCAGTTAGAGGTGGGTCCCTGGACTGAAAGGTCCGGGGTTAGATTCCTGGTCAAGGGCACGCGCTGGGTTGCAGGTTCCATCCCGCCCCCCTTGGGGTCATGTGGGAGGCAACCAATCTCAATCCCCCCGCCCCTTACACTCTATAAAAATCAATAGATTGAAAAAATAAAAATAAAAATCAATAGAAAAGTATCTTTAGGCGAGGAGTAACAAAAAAGAGGAAGGGATATAGGGAGATTAAACTATGGAAGGGAAATAACAGTAAGTATGCTTTTGAGTAAGAAACTCAAACCACATCGTTAGCCTTGGGGACGAGGAAGACAAAACAATGCTTACACCGGTGTTGGTTGTGGTTACGCGATGGGGCCAAAAGACGTCCAATCAAGCTGCGGAAATGCTCTGGGGAGGAGGCTGTAATAATCACATTAGCAAATTCTTATTAGGAACCGGTGCTCTCACAAACCTTTTGGCTGGTCTATGAAACGGGCGCTATCATTACCCCGTCGCAGAACGGAGACAGCGTTCACAGAACGTGCCCAGGTCTACGCGGCCGGGAGCGAGCCGGGACTGGAGCCACCCTGGCTTTGTGAACGAGAAAGCTCCTTGCCCAGTCCTCGCCGGTTCTACCGCCACGGTCCCGGTAGTTTGTCCTACTTGTTAAGTGTCTTGTAAGAGCCATCGTTTCTCCCACACGTCCCAGTTTAGCTTTCCCTCCAGGGGAGGCACGGAGGCGCTCACAGCCCCAGCAGGGGCAATTTGCTTGCAGGGAAGGAAGGGGCCTGCAGAAGCGATCGCCGAGAGCGGCTGGCCCCGGGAAGGGGCCGCGGATGGAAGCACGTTCCCCACGCTGGGCGCCCACCCGGAGGACCGCAGCAGCCCGGGGCCTCGCGGCCGCAGCCACTGCTGCGAAACGGACCTCGGAATTCCGGAAAGAACCGCTTCCGGTGGCACCGGAAGCCCACTGGGGAGCGTTTCGGAGACGGACTGACGGGCAGGCACTTCTCCCCCGTCCAGAAGGTGATCTCCGCCCAGTCTCAGAAGCCAGACGCCCGGGGCCTTAATGTAGGAGCTAAGTGAGTGGGGTCCCTCCGCCGGGTCGTCCCGGGTGGTGCACATTGTTTGGCCTAAAGTGTCCGTGGCACAAATCATAAACTGAGCTTTCGGAAGCTTTTCCGTGATGCGCTCATTCCCAGCGTGACCCTACTTGATTCTTACCGAAGCGGTGTGTAACCAGAGGCGCCGCGCAGGTGCAGCCCCCCAGTCCCAGTCTCCCCCAGGCTTCTGGCCTCGGGTTCAAGGCGAAGCCACCCCAGATCTAATTTTTTTCAGCAGTGACTTATTTTTACCTTTCAGAGAAGTTCCAAGGCTTCCAACTGTTACATTCAGACGTTTCCACCAGTGCAACCACATATTCCCAGCATCCTTTTCCAGATTCCATGAATAACCTAACGACCAGAGAACACCGAATTGGGTGTCAGAAAGCCTGGGTTCTCGTCCTCACTGCCATTAACTAGCGGTATGACATTGGAGTTTTTTGTTTGTTTGTTTTTAGCTCTCTGTGCTACATTTTCCCTTTCTGTAAAGTGAAGGGCTTGGAATTAGTAGCAAGTCAGGTTACTTCCAATTTTATAATTGGATTATTGCCCCCAATGTGTTTTTCTAATTCCGGCTTCAATTACATATCTGTACTTTGGTTAGTCTACATGTTGAGCCTTTCTTCCTACTCCATTAATGTGTGTCCTTGTCAAATGGTTATAGACTCATTAAAATTATTATTATCATTATTATTATCATTATTATTTTACTAAGGAGTCCCATGCTTCCTGAGCACTCTTATTCCAGGGACTTCTACCTAAATAAGATTTTTTCTTTTTTTTGGTACATGCCTAGTGGGAACCAAATCCGGGACTCTCTGGTCCTCAGGTCGAGGCTTCAACCGGTGAGCCAAACCGGCCAGGGCTAAATAGGATATTTTATTTTATTTTATTTAAAAAAATTGTTTTTTAGCCTCACTCGACATTTTTCCATTTTTTATTCAGATAGAGCTGGAGGGAGAGAGAGGAAGAGAGAGAGAGAAACATCAACGTGAAAGGGACACATTGAGTGGTTGCCACCCACATGACCCAACCAGGGCCAGGGACTAACTGCAACCAGGTACATGCCCTAAGTGGGAAATGAACCCGGGCCTCCCCGGACCACAGGCTGATGCTCTAACTGCTGAGCCAAACCAGCCAGGGCTAAATAAGATATTTTAAATGTTCCATTCTTGAGGTACCTGAGAATCATTATTATTATTATTATTATTACTATTATTATTATTTTTACATTTGTTTTTTTATCTTCAGATAGAGCGGGAGGGAGAGAGGAAGGAAAAGAGAGAGAGAGGGAGAGAGAGAAACATCGATGTGAGAGAGACACATGGACTCATTGCCACCTGCACAACCCCAACTGGGGCGAGGCTGAACTGCAACCGAGGTACATGACTTTAGTGTACCAAACGGACTCTCTGGTCCGTGGGCCACAGCTCTAACCGCTGAGCCAAACTGGCCAGGGCCTGAGAATCATTATATTGGAACATGTTAAAGACAGTGAACTCTGAAGCAAGGGACTCTGGCTTATTAAATTTTGAATTAACAACATCAAACACACTGCCTGGAAGCTGATGCTCACGAAATGTTTGCTGAGGAGAAAACATGTACTTCTTACATTATTGTAGTTGCAACTTCCCTCAAAAATTCAAAAGCAAAGCTGTAGAAATGAAGTTTTGGATGCAGAAGGAATAGAAGACTCAAGAGCTATACTATTGAATTTAGAGTTCTGTTGCAGTGTTCTCTCAATAAACTCTTCTTTCATTCTAAGAATGATATTCAAAAGGCATTATTTAATAGATATTTATTGGGTGCCTTCTTCCCTCTTTAAAGCATCGTTGGTTGGGTAGAGAGGAGGGAAAAATAGTGAGTATTGAAAGATAATTTCAAGTAGAGGGAGTTTATGCAAACGTTCAAAATTAGATGACAGGCCCTGAGCAGGTAGTTCAGTTGGTTAGAGCGTTGTTCTAGTACACCAAGGTTTCCGATTAGATCTCTGGCCAGGGCATATACAAGAAGCAACCAACAAATACATAAATAAGTGGAACAACAAATCGATGTTTTTCTTTCTCTCTGTCTCTCCCTCCCTCTCTCTCTTATATCAATAAATAAAAAAAATAAAAATAGATGACAAACCTTTGGAGATTACAGGTGGGTAAGAATAACAAAAGCCTGGGAGGTAGAAATGAGGGGACTATAAGAGTGTAAGAGATGAAATGAGGTTAGCAGAGGGCAGATAATGAATCCTTATATAGCATGTTTTCAAGTTGTACATTGAACTGGTGATTAATGGGGGGGGGGGGGAATTGGTGAGTGTTTATCAGAGAACTGATGAGTTAAAGTTGTATTTTAGAAAAATCACTCTGTAATTTGGTTAGTTGATGTTTTTCAAGAGTGAAAAAAGAGCCTTTTATAAGTTTGTTACTGTATTTCAGTTCTATCATAGTAGAAACATTAACAATAGTAACACTTATTGTTACTACTAGAGAGTAGTTAGTATGGAATCCCAATTCTCATTAGACTGTGAGCTCTTTCAGGGCAGAAACCCAGTTTTATTCATTGTAACTCTAGTATGTTAATTAATATTTGCTAACTTGATTTAAATATTAACTAAAATATTACTTTAAAACTTTTTCCTAGGAGAAACATGAACCAGAAGATGCTGAAGTTGGAGAACTTGCTACGATTTCACACTGTTTGTAGAGAGCTGCACAGCCTAGGTCAGAGAAGAACGTTAGCACAGTGGAGGCATGTGTTTTCATCTGCTTACCCAGTGTGGACAGCTCAGCAGTACACCAGGCCCTGGCAAACAGACGTGCTCTTTGGGGCTGCTTTTTCTCAATATAGGCTTCTCGTAACAAAGAAGGTAGTTATGGATTTATAGCATTACTGAATTATTTGGTCTGCAGTCAGACTGCCTAGAGCCATGAGTAGAAGTCCATTTTGAGTATTTTGTCATTTAAATCTTTATTTCATAATGCTACACTCCAGGCAATAAATCTTTGTGAAGAAGGGAAGTTGTAGTTAGTTGTTCAGTAATGCTGATGAATTTGATTATTTGGAAATCGGTATATAACAGTGAATTAAGGATGCAGGATTTTTAATTTTAGTCTGAGATTTACCTGCTTATGGGAGTGTTAATTGGTAAAAACAGAAGCTGTGATTGTGGTAGGTATTCTAGAATAAATATAAATTATTACCTAAAAGTTTTTTTTTTTTTCCTTTTTCATGTGTTCTGAATTTTTAATAGGAAGAAAGGCCACGGAAATCTCAGTTATCTTCAACAAAATCTAAAAAGGAGGTGGAGGTATGGATTGGAATCACTGTTGAGGAGCTGGCCAGAGTAATGGAAAAGGACATAGGTAAGCCATATAATATTGTAAGAAAAATATGGGAACATGGAATACCTAATACCTTTTTTTTTTTTTATTCTCACCCGAGGATATTTTTGCATTTATCTTCAGATAGAATGGGAAGAAAGAGAGAGAGACATCGACGCGAGAGAGACACATCGAGTGATTGCCACCTACCCGACCCCAGCCAGGGCCGATCTGGTCCGCAGGCCAACACTCTAACCACTGAGTAAACCGGCCAGGGCGAATACCTGGTATCTTATCTGCAATGAGACTAAGGCATTCAAGGATGAAAATTGGACTAGCAGTTTAGAAAGCTGCTAAATCATTATAATATTTTTCTCTTTAGACCACAAACTATAATTTGTTTCTGGCTCTTTGCCAAGTATAGTTCTCCAAAAGTGGAAGTGATTTTCTTATCTGAACAAACCTTCCTTTCTCAGAAATTATGTAGGTTATTAGATTAAGTCCAAAGAATGTTTTTGGACTGAGGGACCATATCTGTGTTCATTTACTTTCCCTTTGTTTTTCTATAATTTTATTATTTCATTTTTTCACTAATCTTGACAATATAGTACCAGAAGAAAAATATTTATAGCATTAACTACAACTTTGAATAATACTATTTTTATTTATAAATATATAGCATCGTTATTTTTTTATTCCTTCATTGCACGATTGATGTATTTATTACCAATATAGGGTTGTTGGAACAAAATTTGAGTTTTCATTGTAAACTGACATTGAAATTTAGTAAACAAGAAATAGCTTATGACTGTAACACAATAAAGTGACAAGTGAAGCAGAGTCTTGGAAAAAAGAAAGAATTAGTAATAACTCATATTTATTGAACTGTTACTGTGTGCCAATACTTTATATTTATTAACTCTGTAATTCTCACAGTGCACTAGAGGTAGGTATGGCTATTATCCCCACTTGTAGGTTGAGAAACTGAGGTGTAGTTTATAAAATTGCCCCCAAGCAGAGTGCTGAAATGCTGTTTAGTGCTACTAACCACAGGAAGGCTGTAATGTGCTGAGCAGAGAAAATATATGTGTTAGATAGGCTTTAGTTACAGTGCTGTTGGCCTGAGTTCAGGGTTAATGAATCAACAATATAGTATATTAAATAAGGCATCTTTAAACAGAAACACTTAAAACAAGGTATGTGTTGATCAGCTAATGAAAATTTTGTGACTAGAGAATAGCGGACCCTTACCCTATATTTCCCTGTGGAGCAGTGGTTTAGTATTTGCTAATTCAGTATTCATGAAGGTTTATAGAACATAACTACTGTGAATAACAAGAATCGACTGTATATATTTACACATTTGTATATGCGTGACATGTTAACTATAAGTTTTCAAAGAACTAAGTATCCCGGGGAAGGTTTTCCTGTCCATTAGGAGGATTAAGTGTGCTTGGCCACAGTTTCCTGGAGTGTGTGAATGAACCTCTTTACCAGTGAACTAGATCCCTGTTACCTGCTTCAGCTTCCCAGATAGATGAGAACAAGTATATACAAAGTCTGATTTATAAAATGGGAGATAATCAGTTCATAAGATGCAGAGTTCAGAAAACAGGTTATAAGGTTGCTCAAGGAACTTGGTGAGACATTCAAGGGACTTAGTGAGACCTTCAAGAAACTTTGTGAGAATATCAACAACATAAAAAAGGACCAGTCAGCAACGAAGGATGCACTAACTGAAATAAAGAATAATTTACAGGGAATCAATAGTAGAGTAGATAAAGCCAAGAAGTAAACCATCGATTTGGTATAGAAGGAAGCAAAAACACCCAATCAGAACAGCAAAAAGAAGAAAGAATCCAAAAAAAAGGATAGTGTAAGGAGCCTCTGGGATCACTTCAAGCGTGCCAACATTCACATCATAGGGGTTCCAGAAGGAGAAGAGTGAGAACAAGAAATTGAAAACCTATTTGAAACAATAATTTCAATGACAGAAAATTTCCCTAACTTAGTGAAAGAAACAGACATACAAGTCCAAGAAGCACAGAGAGTCCCAAACAAGATAAACCCAAAGAGGTCCACATCAAGACACATTATCATCAAAATGCCAAAGATTAAAGACAAAGATAGAATCTTAAAAGCAGCAAGAGAAAAGCAGTTTGTTACCTACAAAGGAGCTCCCATAAGACTGTCAGCTGATTTCTCAAAAGAAACTTTGCAGGCCAGAAAGGAGTGGCAAGATATATTCAAGGTGATGAAAAGCAGGGACCTATAACCAAGATTACTCTATCCTGCAAAGCTATCATTTAGAATTGATGGACATATCAAGAGTTTCCCAGACAAGAAAAAGCTAAAGAAGTTCATCACCACCAAACCAGTATTATATGAAATGTTGAAGGGTCTTCTTGAAGGAGAAGAAGAACAAAAATATGAGCAATAAAATGGCAATTGTGTACCTTTCCAGATATTTTTCTATTTATAGCCAAGAGAATACAGATCTAGTTTTTCTTTATAAGCACAAATGGCAACCTCCTGTACAAATGCATCTGCATGTTACTTTTATTAACTGTACATCATAGAAGTCATTCCACATCAGTAAAGTGCCTACTCATTCTTTTTTAGAGCTGCATACTATTCCATGTTTTTAGCCAGTCCACTATGGGTGGACCTTTGGATTTCCAATCTTTTGTTTATATAATGTTGCAATGAATAGTCATATATTTTCATTTCATGTATGTATGTAGGGTAAATTTCTAAAACAGGAATTTCGGGGCTAGAGGGTATGTGCATTTATATGATGGTTATTGCCAAGTTGACATCCATAGAGGTTGAACCAATTTATTTTCCACCAGCAAGATATAAAACTCCATATCTGGTGCTTAGACCAACAGCCTATCAGCCATCAAATAAGTATCGGCTTGTCTCAGTAACATAGCCTAGAAGTACCAGCTAAGCTGCATCTCTAAAAAGATCAGCACTTGCCATCCATGGAGCCAGAGAGGAATCTGTATCTTACCTAATAGTAGCCAGGCCCATCAAAGTCACAGCTGGAAAAGGAGAAGACATTTTTTCCACCAACTGCTCTAGTCCCTGGGATACAGAAAAGTAGGACATGCCTTTCTAATTAATAAACAATGAATGAGAGCGTTAAAAAAAAAACAAAACAATTGAATTTACAAACAAAATGAGCAAGCAGAACAGAAGCAGACTCATAGATACAGAGAACTTTTTGTTGCTTGCCAGATGGGTGGGGGTTGGGGGAATGGGTGAAAAAGATGAAGGAATTAGGAAGTACAAATTGATCCAATTGGTGTGGCTCAGTGGTTGAGCGTCAACCCATGCACCAAGAGGTCGCCAGTTTGATTTCTGGTCACATGTCCAGGTCAGGACACATGCCCAGGTTGTGGGCCTGATCCCCAGTGGGGGGCATGCAGAAGGCGGCCAATCGATATTCTCTCTCATCAATGTTTCTATCTCTCCCTCTCACTACCTCTCTCTCAAATCAATAAAGGGGAAAAAAAAAGAACTAGACTATTATAAACTACTGAAAACTAAATATAACGTCCTACAATTTAATGTTTTATTGATGGTTCAGATAGTTCATAAGGCACATAAATATTCCACATATTTATGAATATACAGAAATTCTAATTTATATAAATGCATCATTTTTTAACAGTATTTTTTTTAGATTTTTTTATTGATTTTTAGAGAGAGGAAGGGAAAGAGAGAGAGAAACAGCAATGTGAGATCGATACATCGATCAGCTGCCTCCTGCACATTCCAAACTGTCTGCAACCCAGGCATTCATCCTGACCGGGAATCGAATACACAACCTCTTGGTACACAGGATGATGTCCAATCACCTGAGCTACACCAGCCAGGGCATGATATCTTTCTTTTTTTAAGGACAGAGATCTGTTTTCTTTGAAAAAAAAAAAAAAGTTTTTAAAATTTTTTTTTTAGAGAGAGGGGAAGGGAGAGATAAAAACATTGATGTGAAAGAGAAACATTGATCAACTGCCTCCTGCACACCGCCTACTAGGGACCAGCCCAAAATGCAGGCATGTGCCTTGTCTGGGAATCAAACCAGGACCTCCTAGTCTGGGAAGACTCTCAATCCAATGAGCCACACCGGCCAGGCAGTGCATCTTCTCTTAAAGATCATTTTCTTTTCAGCTTCTTTGTGATTTGTTAACATGAGAACAAACAGCTTATATCGTTATTTCTCTGATTGAGTGTACTGTTTATATGTACATTTATTAATAGAGTCACTTTCTGAACATTTAATTTCGTGCTCCTAAAAGGTTTTATCTTATTCCACCCAGATTATATATATGAAGCTTTAATGAACACTACTATTGACATAGATTCACTAGAAGCAGACTCGTGTTTAGATGAAGTATGGATCAAAGAAGTAATAAAGAAGGCAGGGATGAAGTTAAAATGGAGCAAATTAAAACAGGACAAAGTCAAAGAAAATAAAGATGCTGTGAGAAGGTAAAACATAACCAAATATATTGGGGGAGGGAGACCATATAGTTTTATTCACATTTTTTGTTGTTGTTAATTCTCACTTGAGAATATTTTTCCATTGATTTTTAGAGTGGAAGACAGGGAGGAAGGGAGAGAGAGAGAGAGAGAGAGAGAAAGAAACATTGATTGATTGCTTCCTGCATGATCCTGACCAGGGCCAGGGATCAAACCTGCAACGCAGGTATGTTCCCTTGACCGGGAATTAAACTCATGACCCTTTGGTCCGAGGGCTGATGCTCTAACTGCTCAGCCAAACCAGCCATGGATATTAACACTTTTTAATGGAAAGAGTTGCCTTAAAATTTCTTTTGCAATTAAAATAATATTAAACTTTTCTTTGAAGTGCTTAAAGCATCAGTATATTCAGGTTATTGTAAAAATCTAAGGGTTATTTTTCCTAGTTTTCCAAGTATGTATATTGATTCCGAATTTTAAAAAATTTTATTCAGTTCTGCTCATTGTTATAAAGATGCCAGCTGTAGGTGGGTAGTCATGTATTTTGTCACTGTATGCTGTATGTATAGAAGAGGAAAATACTTATATCTAATCGAAGCTGAATGTTGGATTTTATTGTTAATGGTAGTTCACAGAGATAACTGCAAATCAATTCACTGGCTGTAAACTGTTGTGATGTTTAAGAAATGAAACTCCTTTGCTGTTAACTGTAGGCCCCCGGCAGATCCAGCTTTATTAACCCCAAGGTCGCCAGTTGTTACTATAATGGGCCATGTTGATCATGGGAAAACGACGTTACTTGACAAACTGCGAAAAACTCAAGTGGCAGCAATGGAAGCTGGAGGCATCACTCAGCACATTGGTGCCTTTCTTGGTATGAACACAAATTACTTACAGTGTGCTTGGGAACTCCATACATTCTTTTCTAAAGCCTGGTGTCACAGTATGAAATATATAATTCAAAGTAAAAGGAAAGGTTAAAGGTTAAAGCCATCAGTTTGATGAAATGTAGAGCAGGTGGTTAATAAAGGTTATTTTGTACATTCTATTTTTTTTTTTTTTTTATAGAGTGGGAGGGAGAGAGAGGAAGGGAGAGAGAGGGAGAAACATCGACGTGAAGGGACACATCGAGTGGCTGCCACCCGCACGACCAACCAGGGCCGGGGACAAACTGCAACCGAAGTACGTGCCCTTAGCGGGAACCGAACCCGGGTCTCTCCGGACCGCAGGTCGACGCTCTAACCGCTGAGCCAAACCGGCCAGGGCTATTTTGTACATTCTATAAGAAGAAAATTATATTACCTTTTTATTCTAGCCCATTCTTAGTTTGGTTTAATGAGCTTAAAGTCTTCAATGCTAGGTTGTGATAATAATTAAATAGCTACCATTTACTGAGTACCTAGCATGTGCTAGCACTATGCTGAGCAACTTATATCCTTTACCTTTTTTATCTTCAAAACAACATCTAGGTAGGTATTAATATACCTACTTAAAGGTAAGGAGGCTGAGACTTGTTTAAGTTTAGTGCCTTGGTCAAGGTACACAGCTAGTAAGTGGCAAGGATTTAAACCCAAGGCTTTTGGACTCAACTCCTGAGCTAGTAATTGTATACAAAAGTGTCTTTGTTGCTTAAGGCAGTTGAGCAGCTGATGTTTGCTTATGCAAGGGTGTCTGCCTATGTAACTATCCATGTATTTTCTCTCTAGAACAGATAAAAGTTGGTACAGTTATGGAAGTAGTTATATTCTAGAAATATGAAGAGTTTTAGTTTGAAATTATTACATGCAAAGAAAACCCTCCAGGTCTCACTGTTATGATATCACTTTTTGTTGTGAAATGATGATCTATATTGTTCTGATTAAGATTAATGGAAGGAATAAAATTATTTTAAACAATTCATTATGTCTGATAATGTCACATATATTCCTTTATATTAAGGAGATACATATTTGAGTCCTTAGTGTTCTTGGATTTCTGTTTCCACAGTCTCTCTGCCTTCTGGGGAAAAGATAACCTTCCTTGATACTCCAGGACATGCTGCTTTCTCAGCAATGAGAGCCAGAGGTGCTCAGGTCACTGACATTGTCATATTGGTTGTAGCTGCAGATGATGGAGTGATGAAACAAACAGTAGAATCTATTCAGCATGCCAAAGATGCTCAAGGTACTGTGTGGCTGTGGCTGACTTACCGAGCCACTGTTCTGGGCAGTGCACATGTAGCTTGTTTAATCTTCATGGCAATCTCAGGATTGTTATATCTTTTTTTTTACGGATAAGGCTCAAAGACAGGTGACTTATTTTCCCACAGATATAACTACTAAGAAGAGTGTAGCTGGACTCAATTTGGGACTTTGATCACAAGTGTAGTCCTTTCTCTACTGTTTATTTGGCATAGTTGAGACTGGAACAGTCTCAGATAACTTTTTATCATGGAAATTTTAAGTAGATATAAAAGTAAGAAGATTATAACAAACCCCTAAATTCATTACAAGTTGCAAAGTGGTGATATTTCAATTCTGTTATTCCTTGTTCATTTATCAACTCAACTTCTTTTCTAAACTTTCCTCTCATACACTTTAAATAATTTCTCATTTGGTTAAAGGTATACAATTGAAACTTCGGAAAGTTATTTGGCTGTTTTCTCCCTTATTTCTCCATTTAAAATTGTAACACATACTCTGCACATTCATGTTTATTCTCATAGGACCTATACTTACTGAGAAAATGCTGTTGTCTTGCGAAATGTCCCCGATAGAATGCATCATACTTCCCTAGGTTTGTTGGTAAGAAAACAAAAAAGGTTGAGAATCACTAAGATAGTCAGATTCTTTCATCTCACAACATAAAAGCTAAGGCCTAGAGAATGGCAGGAACTCCCTTCATTACAGTTAATTTGCAATATGTCTGCATTTGGCATCTGGCTTCTAGCTTTCAGTGTTACTCTCCTTTTTAATTTCTCAAAATTGCCTTTGTGGAATGGACTATGTTCTTTTTAAAAAATCTTCACCCAAGGATATTTTTCCATTGACTTTTTTTCTTTTTTAGATAGAGTGGGAGGGAGGAAAAGGGAGAGAGAGGGAAACATCAATGTGAGAGAGACACATCACTTGGTTACCTCCCACATGACCCCAACTAGGGCCAGGAATTGAACCTGTAACCGAGGTATGTGCCCTTGACTAGGAATCAAACCTGTGACTCTTTGGTCCGAGGGCCAAAGAGCCAAACTGGCCAGAACTGGACTAAGTTCTTAGTGGTTTTAGGGAATATAACAAAAAGAAGAGACTGATCAATTTGCCAGGAATCCTATATCAGACCAGCTGGTTAATACCCAGCCTGTGTGGCTCAGTGGACTGAGTGTTGTCCCATGGACTACGAGGTCTCAGTTCAATTCCTGATCAGGGCACGTGCCCGGGTTTTGGGCTCAATCTCCAGTGAGGGGCATACAGGGGGCAGCTGATCACTGTTTCTCACATCGATGTTATTGTCTCTCTCTCTCCCTTCCTCTCTCTGTAAAAAATCAATAAAAACATATTTTAAAAAAGGTATATGATAAATTCTTTACATCATGCTTTTTATACCTGTTCTCTTGGTCTCTGTTAAATTTCATCTCATCCATATGGAATGTACTTTTTTATAGTAGTAGGTTGTGGATTGCATAGCTTTTTTGTTCCTTTGGTACCTGAGAAAATCGCAATTGGTAAAACCCAGAGAATTATCTCCTAGAATTTTGTGAGATTTCTCTGATGAGAGAGTATGTTTAATAATGACAAGTAGAGCCCTGACTGGTTTGGCTCAGCAGTTGGAGCATCCGCCTGTGGACCAGAGAGTCCTGGGTTCAGTTCCCGCTAGGGGCATGTACCAAAAAAAAAAAAAAAAAAACCTACAAAAAAAATAATGACAAGTAGATTATAAGATTATTTGGTTTATATATTAAGTAAACATTTATTGAGAATCTACTGTGTATCAGTCACCAAGCTAAATAAAGAGTTGCTGTAAACCCTAAAGGAAAGTTTACAACAATGATTCCTAATTTCACCCCAGGGTAAAATGTTAGGTTCTAACAATGGGTCAATAGCTCCTGGAAAGAAGAGGCAAATCATCTAGTGGTGCTGTAATTGAATTTAAAATTTATCTTGATTTTTTTTTCCTGGAGATTATCTCTAGTATAATTGCTGATCTTGCTTTCAGGTTTGAAGATAAAACTTTCTCTACCCAACCTTTGTGTTTTGTTTTGTTTTAAATCACCTTAGGTGTCTGTTCTTAATTCAGAATCTGCTTATAATTACAGGTTTGACATCTTACAATTGGAATCCTTTATCTGTAGAAAGCAGAGTAGAATAGGTCTAAAGGGTCTTTTGTTAGATAAGTACATCCACTGAGTAAAGAGAAAGCGAGAACAGGTTGGTGTCTTCCTTGTGAATACCTGGAATGGAAGGTGTCATTTCCACTCTTCTTAACTTTGTCCCTTTCAGTGCCTATTGTCCTTGCCATAAACAAATGTGACAAAGCTGAGGCGGATCCTGAAAAAGTGAAGAAAGAACTGCTAGCTTACGACGTGGTGTGTGAGGATTACGGAGGCGATGTGCAAGCCGTGCATGTCTCTGCACTTACGGTAACGGCATGGGATGGAAGAACACCTGACGTACCTCCTTTCCGTCATTGTTTAAGAACTCTGTGGGTCCTTGGCAAAGCTGGTATCTTCCTGGTGTGGCTGATCAGAAATTAGGCTCAGAGCCCTGGCCGGTTTGGCTCAGCGATTAGAGCATGCACCAAAGGATCAGGGGTTCAATTCCCAGTCAAGGGCATGTAGCTGGGTTGCAGGTTCGATCTCTGGCCCTGGTCAGGGTTGTGTAGGAGTCAACCAATCAATGCGTCTCTCTCACATCAGTGTTTCTCTCTCCTTCCCACCCTCCTTACCTCCTTCCCTTTCACTCTATCTAAAAAAAAAAAAAATCTATGGAAAAATATTCTCAGGTGAGGATTAACAAAAAGAAACAAAAAAGAAACAACAGAAATTAGGTTCAGAAAGATCAGTCACCAATCCATGGTTACATAGCTGATCAATGGGTAATGGGGTCTGAACCTAATGTTTTTCTTACTATGAGATACTTAGGATGAGGAGAATAAATGGTGAATGATGTGGTGATAGAGTATTAGTAGGCTAAAGACTGTTTCAAGCAGAAATGAAATCCAGTTGTTAATAAAAAGTGCTTGTTTTCATAGTGAAAACCTATAAAGGTCTTAGGGCATTTAAGAAAGATTTAAACAGCCCTGGCCGGTTTGGCTCAGCGGTTAGAGCGTCGGCCTGCGGTCCGGAGAGACCCGGGTTCGGTTCCCGCTAAGGGCACGTACTTCGGTTGCAGTTTGTCCCCAGCCCTGGTTGGTCGTGCGGGTGGCAGCCACTCGATGTGTCCCTTTCACGTCGATGTTTCTCTCTCTCTCTCTCTCCCTCCCACTCTATCTGTACAAAGATTGGAAAAATGTCCTCGGGTGAGGATAAAAAAAAAAGAAAGATTTAAACAAAAATTTCACTAATACAAAGAGCAAACATTTGGGTTCAGTTTGTAAGTGCTTGACTCAGTGTTTCTATGAATTAAATTGCTATAAGTTTTATAATGTTAGTTATGATGAATTCTATTTTCTTTTCAATTACCAGTTACTCTTTTCTCATTGAAAAACACCAAGGAAATTTAGTTCCTCTTTGTGACAGCATTTGCCAATTCTCTTATCCTGTGCAGGTTGCTGCTGAGTTACAGTTTCCATTTTGTCCATCTTATCGTATTCCATAGTTTACTCAAAATACAGACTTTTTTTTTTTTCTGATCATTACTGAGGGATGGTACTGTATTTGGTCACCTTCTTTCAATTGTCTAATTTTATCTTTACTTTTCCTAAATTTGTTACCTCCAAAATGCTTAGAAATTATATCCCTTTAATAGTAAAACCATGCCTCTTTTTCTCTGAACTCATAAAACGTCACCTTACTTTGTTTTCATTCCACTATACCTCGATTGCTATTGCACTCTGAAAGCCAGATGGCAGGTTTAAAACATTCAAAGACATGGCTACCTTTTCTGCCCAAGTACCATCAGAGGAGTAGATAGATATAATGCTGCTTAGGCAAATCTGGGGAGTTGGCAGAGATGATTCCTGGGGAATGGAGGGAGCTGGGGAAGAGGGGCTGGGAAGTAAGATGAGGCCTCCTTTTCCAAGGCAGATACAGAGCTCTACATTATGCAAAGAAACAGCCCCAGCATTGTTTTTCAGAGCAGCATTTTGTAAGTTGGAATATATACCAGGAATAAGTAAATGGGTAAGCAAAGGATGTTGTTTACATTTGTCTCTGTTGTTTAATACTCTGTAACAACTGGAAGCAATCTCTTAGCTGACATGGAGAATGATAAAAGGTGTTCATTAGTTCTAATTCCATGACCAGTTAATCAGCTGCTTGTGATCTTGAAGTTCTAAAAAGCATAGTAAACATAGATCATGAAAGGTGAAAGAATCATGTAATCCAGTCCTTTATTTGAGGAAAAGAGATCCAGGGAGGTGAAGTGATTTTTTTTAAGTTTGTACAGCTGGGTACTTAAAATGGCTCAAATGAAAAAAATAGAAGTGAAAGCTTGTGACATTAGATAGAACTTCAGTGTGAAGTGCCATTTTCAAGAAAGAGGAAGAAAACGCAATTATAGAGACAGATGGAGGAGAGAGAGAGAATGAATGAATCCTGTGTTTATGAAAGGGTATTAAGAAGCATCACTGTTCCTTGCAAGATCTGTCCCTGGATCAGGTTTTCTTGCTTATCCCTCCCTCCCTTCCTTTCAATTGCATAATTATGCTTTTAATGCTTAAAGAGAAAAATACAAGTATTATTTGACTTTCTGACCCTTGTATATTTACATTTACAGATAATAATGTATATTAACTTTTTTTGTTGTTAAAGGGGGATAATCTAATGGCTTTGGCAGAGGCAACAATTACTCTTGCAGAAATACTAGAATTGAAAGCAGACCCCACTGGCCCAGTGGAAGGAACAGTAATAGAATCTTTCACAGACAAAGGAAGAGGGTAAGACTGTTAAAATGCTTGCTTTTTAATAATTTTGTTTCATTGTTTTTGTGAATTGATCATATAATAATGTGTTACTTTTATTGCGTGTTATGCCTAGTCCATAAACAATATTTTCAAAGCATTTTTTGAAAAGTATTCTACTGCCCTGGCCGGTTTGGCTCAGCGGTTGGAGCGTCGGGCTGCGGTACAGAGAGACCCGGGTTCGGTTCCCGCTAAGGGCATGTATCTCTGTTGCAGTTTGTCCCCGGCCCTGGTTGGTCGTGCGGGTGGCAGCCACTCGATGTGTCCCTTCACATCGATGTTTCTCTCTCTCTCTCTCTCCCTCCCGCTCTATCTGAACAAAAAATGGAAAAATGTCCTCGGGTGAGGATAAAAAAAAAAAAAGAAAAGAAAAGTATTCTACTGCCCTGGCTGGGTTGGCTCAGAGGTTAGAGCATCAGCCTAAGGACCAAAGGGTTGTGGATTCGATTCCCAGTCAAGAGCACATACCTGGATTGCAGGTTCCATCCCTGGCCCCTGTCGGGGTTGTGTGGGAGGCAACCAGTCAATGTGTCTCTCTCACATCAATGTTTCTTTCTCTCTGATTCTCTCCTACAACTCCCTTCCACTCTGTCTAAAAATCAGTGGAAAAATATCCTCCGGTGAGTATTAATAAAAAAAGAAAAGAGCCCTGGCTGGTTTGGTTCAGCGGTTAGAGCGTTGGCCTGCGGTCCTGAGAGACCCGGGTTCAGTTCCCACTAAGGGCATGTACCTCGGTTGCAGTTTGTCCGCGGCCCTGGTTGGGTCGTGTGAGTGGCAACCACTCGATGATTCTCTTTCTCTCTGTCCCTCCCACTCTATCTGAACAAAAAATGGAAAAAATGTCCTCGGGTGAGGATAAAAAAAAAAAAAAAGAAAGAAAAGAATTTTATTGCTCTAGCACAGAGAACACAAAAATGCAGTTATTAGTAGACCATAACAACTATCTGTATACATCTATTAGTCATATTTAGGTGACTTAAGTATCTGATTTGTTAGTCCCCCCCCCCCCTTACACACACATACTGATGTAACTGAACTGGTGAAGCCTGATAGACTAACGTAAATCGGAATGAAACAGCAGTTGTTGCATTTTAGGGCTTCTAAATTCTTTAGGTCCTTACCCATTAATATAACATATAGGAAGGACTCTGGAATGGTATTTTCATCTTTAATTTTCCTTCCTATCGGCAAAAGAAGTTTTCTCACTGCTTAACAAAGACAGGGGATTAGGATTCTGTCAGAACACTCAACTATCTGCACCCTCCACTACCATAACTTTATGAGAAATGTTTTTTTTTATTATTGTGGTAAAGATATGTAACATTAAATTTACCATATTAACCATTTTTAAGAGTACAGTTCAGTAATATTAAGTATATTCACATTGTTGTGCAATAGAATCTAGAATTTTTTCATCTTGCAAAACTATACTAATTCTCTCTCCCACTCCCCTAGGTCTTGGCAGCTACCTTTCCATTGTCTGTTTCTGTGATTTTGACACTTTAGATACTTCATGAGTGGAATCATATGGTATTTGTTCTTTTTGACTGGCTTATTTTACTTAGCATAAATGACCTTGAGGTTCATTCATGTTGTAGCATGTGACAGGATTTCCTTTTTTTTTTTGGTATGTACCTCTAGCAGGAACCGAACCCGGGACTCTCTGGTCCGCAGGCCGATGCTCCAACCACTGAGCCAAACCAGCCAGGGCAGGATTTCCATTTTTTTTTTAAGGTTGCATAATATTCCATTGTATGTATGTACCGCATTTACTTTATCCATTCTTCCATTGATGGACATTTGCTTTGCCTCCACTTTTTAACAATTGTGAAGAAGTGTTTTTATAATGTGAAAAACTGCTTGAGAAATTGAGAAATGGTACAATTAACACTATGTGTACATATTATATATATATATATATATATATATTTTTTTTTTATCCTCACTCGAGGACATTTTTGTATTCATCTTCAGATAGAGTGGGAGGGAGAGAGGGAGGAAGAAAGAGAGAAACATCAACGTGAGAGAGACACATAGACAGGCTGCCACCCACACGGCCCCGGGGCTGGGGACAAACTGCAACCAAGGTATGTGCCCCTAGCGGGGAGGACTCTCCAGTCCGCGGCCTGACGCCCTAACTGCTGATCCAAACCGGCCAGGGCCATATTACACATTTTTAAGTCTCATAAGATATTTTTGCTCACCCTGACCGGTGTGGCTCAGTTGGTTGAGTGTCATCCATGCACTTAAAGGTCACTGGTTCGATTCCTGGTCAGGGCACATGCCCAGGTTGCTGGCTCAATCCCCAGTATGGGGCATGCAGGAGGCGGCTGATTGATATTCCTCTCTCACATTGATGTTTCTCTCTCTCCCTCTCCCTGTAAAATCAATAAACACATTTTTTTCTTAAATTTTTTACATTTTTTTTTATCGATTTTTAGAGAGAGAGGGATGGAGAGGGAGACAGAGATGGAAACATTGATGAGAGAGAACATCGATTGGCCACCTCATGCATGCCTCCAATTGGAGACTAGGTCCACATCCTGGGTATGTGCCCTGACCAGGAATGGAACCGGCAACCTCTTGGTGCATGGGTCAGTGCTCAGCGGTTAGAGTGTCAGCCCTTGGACCAAAGAATCGTGGGTTCAATTCTAGTCAGGAACACGTGCCTCTGTTGCAGTTTGGTCTTGGCCCTGGTCGGGGTCCTGTGGGAGTTGATGTGTCTCTCTCACAGCGATGTTTCTCTCTCTCTCTCTGTTTCTCTCTCCCTCACACTCTATTTGTAGATCAATGGAAAAATATCCTGTGGTGAGGATTTAAAAAAATAAAAAAAAAAGAAAATGAAAAAAAAATCTTTGTTCTGTTTAAGAAAGTATTATATTCTGATTGTGTCATTAAGAATAAATACCTTTATTTTTATTTTAGTCCTGTTACTACGGCAATAATTCAAAGAGGAACTTTAAGAAAAGGCTCGATTCTGGTTGCTGGAAAGAGTTGGGCAAAAGTACGCTCAATGTTTGATGAAAATGGAAAAACAATTAATGAGGCCTATCCCAGCATGCCAGTGGGAATTATAGGCTGGAGAGACCTCCCTTCTGCAGGAGATGAAATTCTTGAAGTAGAATCTGAGGTATATCAAGCTTATTTCCTATATATTAGATATGACATAATGATTTTAAGTATCAATCTACAATGTTATACCAAATGAGCATGTTAATGTTAACTTATTATTAACTAATGTTAATAATTCTAGACTATAAGGAGCTGTGAGGGGCCAATGTTACCTTTTTAGAATTTGGCTATAGAATTTTTTAAAATTTGAGATAGAATTTATTATTAAATAATTTTAATTCTATAGAAAGCCTCCAAATTAAAGTTATATACATTTCTTGAAATTTACAAAATTTGTGGTTTCATATGAGTTTAACTAATGTCATAGTGGAGGAAAAACAAAGCTTATTGTTAAATAATGCCTGTTTTGTTTTCTTTCCTGTAAAGCCAAGGGCACGTGAAGTTGTTGACTGGAGGAAGTATGAGCAGGAACAGGAGAAAAATAAAGAAGATCTAACAGTTTTAGAAGAAAAACGAAAGGAACACCAAGAAGCACATCGGAAAGCCCGTGAGAAGTATGGCACTTTGCACTGGAAGGAGAGATCATATATAAAGTACCAAGAAAAAAAAGAACAAAAGTTCTTAAAGCCAAAAGAGAAAGCCGAAAGAGATTCAAATATGCTCCCTCTAGTTATTAAAGGTGACTTTTAAAAGATTTTACTTAACTCATTTTTATAATATCTGTATTTCTTCATTCTCAAAATTAATTTGAACCATTAAATTTAAGCCAAAAGTATCTCAGTATTTTGGGAGAGACTTTTATTTTTATTGATGTATAATTGATATGTTATATTAGTTTCAAATGTACAAAAATGATTCAGTATTTGTATATATTGTGAAATGTGCATTGCAGTAAGTCTAGTTAACATCCATCACCATGCATATTTACAAATTGTTTTTCTTACGATGAGAACTTTTAAAAAATGTTTTTATTGATTTTAGAGAGAGAAGGAGAGGGAGGGAGGGAGACAGAGAGAAAGAAAAACATCGATGTGGGAGAGAAACATTGATCAGTTGCTTCCCATACGCACCCCAACCAGAGATCAAACCCACAATCTACGTATGTGCCCTGACCAGAGTCCAACCAGTGACCTTTCCATGCATGAGACTCAGATCAACCAACTAAGACACACTGGCCAGGACACAATGAGAACTTTTAAGATCTACTCTCTTGCCTGGCTGGTGTGGCTCAGTGGTTGAGTGTTGACCATGCACCAAGAGGTGCTGGTTCGACTCCTGGTCAGGGCACATGTCCAGGTTGGGGTCAAATCCCCAGTGGGGGGCATGCAGGAGGGGGCCAATTGATGTTCTCTCTTGTTGATGTTTCTATCTCTCCCTTTCTAAAATCAATAAAGGGGGAAAAAAAGATTTACTTTCAGCAACTTTCAAATATGCAGTACAGTATTATTAATTATGGTCACCATGCTATATATTACATCCCCATGACTTATTTATTTTGTAACTGGAAGTTTGACCTCTTGCACCCTTTTTACCTCTTCTTAGTAAACATTTTTTTTGCTGATTTTGTTGTAAATGTACCACATTTTGTTCATTATAATTTATTAAATTAAGTAAATATTTATAATGCTAAACCTAAATACAAGTGGATTTAGTGGTAAATGTGCCATTCCTATTATGGTTTTTAATAGATTATCATCATTTTTGTGTCTGTTAATATAACTCTTAACACCAATAATTTTAAACTGTTGCTGCATTTAGGTGATGTTGATGGTTCCGTTGAGGCCATTTTAAACATTATGGATACCTACGATGCTTCACATGAGTGTGAACTCGAATTAGTACATTTTGGTGTCGGTGACATTAGTGAAAATGATGTTAACCTTGCTGAAGCATTTCATGGTAAGGATTTCATTTCCTGTTTAACTGTATTCCCTAGAACACACTGAAACATTTGCTTTTGTCTTTTGTTGCTTGACTAGTCACACCTGCCATTTGCCCCATCAGCATCACCCTTCCTCTTGCAGTTGAGTCCTCGCTACACATTGAGGGCGATGGGATGTGCAATATTTCAGCCCTAGTTCCACTTGTACTGCAACCTTGGGGAACTATTTCAAGCCCCAGTAGTGTTTCTTGATTTTTTTTTTTGGAAGTACCGTTATTGTCCCCTCTCCTTGCTCCTTCTGGTTCACCACTCAATTCAAGATTGGTTCTGTATCTTTCATTTAGACTAAGGAATGCCCCAAACACTATAATCAGCCTATTCAAGTATTTTCCTTCATCTTTTAATTTTTTGTTTAATAGAGTGGGAGGGAGAGAGAGAGGGAGAATCATTGACATGAAAGGAACACATCAAGTGGTTGCCACCTGCACGACCCAACCAGGGCCAGGGACAAACTGCAACCGAGGTACACGCCCTTATCGGGAACTGAACCTGGGTCTCTCTGGACTGCAGGCTGACACTCTAACCGCTGAGCCAAACCAGCCAGGGAAGAACTTCTTTCATTTCTTAAATAACTCTTGAACTTTACCAATTAAGTATTTTTAAGCAGCTGAATACCTAAGAGTAAACCACAAAAGTTGTAGACAAGAAGATTATAATAATAGAATTGTTATTAAAATAATGTCATACTAATTTTATTAGTAATTTTTCCCCTTATATTCCTGGTATAAAAAGAAAAGTTTTGTTTAGCATGCTGCCTCACACATTATGAGCACTTAAAACAATGCTTCTTAGCCCTGGTCAGTTTGGCTCAGCAGTTAGAGCATCAGCCTGTGGTCCAGAGAGACCCGGGTTCAGTTCCTGCTAAGGGCACATACCTCGGTTGCAGTTTGTGCCTGCCCCTGTTGGGGTCATGTGGGTGGCAGCCAGTCGATGTGTCCCTCTCTATCTCCCTCTTGCTCTATGCAAAAATGTCCATGGGTGAGGAAAAAAAACCCACAATGTTTCTTAAATGAAAGGATGGATTTTTAAAACCATAAAGAAATTTTCCTTATTAATCAAGCCACAATGGGATTTATAAAATCCTTTTACCAATTTGAAAATTTACTAGTTTTCATGAGAAGAAATTAAAGAATTTCTCATCTCCCCAACTTGCTTTTAATTTATGTAGAAGAAAATTAAAAAATTTATATTTGAGTTTCTGTTAGAAAGATAAACTGTTTAGTGCAATATTTGTGCTACTTTATTGACTGCATTTCTGATTGCCAGGGGTCATATACGGCTTCAATGTGAATGCAAGCAGTGCTATCCAGCAGTCAGCTGCAAAGAAAGGAGTTAAAATTAAACTTCACAACATCATTTACCGTCTTGTTGAAGATTTGCAGGGGGAACTGAGCAGCAGATTGCCCTGCACTGTGGAAGAGCACACAGTAGGTGAGTATTTATGGACCATTACATTTAAACATTCGTATCTTAAATGCTGTAAATGACACTTAAAAGCAAAGTTTAGGGGAAATGTATTTTACTGTTGAAATGCATTCATTGTTCCAATACATATCCTGTGTTCTAGGAAAAATGACTGCTACAGATAAGAATTCAATGTAACTTTTTATGTATTATAAACACTTGCCCTCTGCAATACTTAGGCCCTGAAGATACAAGGCCAGTACAGCAATAAGATCTTGCCCTCGAGTTTAGACATGAACAATTAATTAGACCGGGGTGGGAGGCATAAAGATTATTAATGTGGCCCTGGCCGGTTTGGCTCAGCGGTTAGAGCGTGGCCTGTGGTCCAGAGAGACCTGGGTTCGGTTCCCGCTAAAGGCGCGTACCTCGGTTGCAGTTTGTCCCCGGCCCTGGTTGGTCGTGCGGGTGGCAGCCACTTGATGTGTCCTTTCACGTCGATGTTTCTCTCTCTCTCTCTTCCTCTCTCTCCCTCCCACTCTATCTGAACAAAAAAAAAAAAAGATTATTAATGTGTCACGAAGGAGCCATTTGTTTTATCCTGGAGCTGGTGGAGAAAGCTACCATGAGAAGAAAATATTTGTGCTACTTTATAGACTGCATTTCTGATATTTAAATTAATATTTAAATGTAAATATTTAAAAATATTCTTTCTAGCATATCTCTTGGCCAGATTAACCTGTTAACCGGGGAATTCCCTTTTTACTGTATGCAACGTTTAACGTATTTATACGTCCTGCCTGGTTAACAGGTTAAAGGCTAAATTTATGATGACTGAATCATTTTATGTGTTCTTTTTTCTCCCCATATACAGATTTTTAAATTTTTTAAAGTTTTGATGTTTTAAATATCCAGAAAAATTATAAGTATAGAGAATTCTGTCCAATATACCCTTTACCCAATTCACCAATTATTTACATTTTGTCCCATTTGCTTTATTACTCACATACACACATAATTTTTTTTTCTGTGTCAGTTGAGATGGTGTCTGTTTGCCACTAAATACTTGCATTTCTTAAGCACAAGGATGTTCTCTTATAAAATCAGAGAACAGCCCTGGCCAGTTTGGCTCAGCGGTTAAAGCGTCGGCCTGCGGTCCGGAGAGACCCGGGTTCGGTTCCCGCTAAGGGCACGTACTTTGGTTGCAGTTTGTCCCCGGCCCTGGTTGGTCGTGCGGGTGGCAGCCACTCGATGTGTCCCTTCACGTCGATGTTTCTCTCTCTCTCTCCCTTCCTCTCTCTCCCTCCCACTCTATCTGTACAAAAAATGGAAAAATATCCTCAGGTGAGGATAAAAAAAAAAAAATCAGAGAACAAATATCAAACTCAGGAAATTTAACATTAGTACTATTATCTAAACCAAAGTTCATATTCACATTTTGTCCATTGTCCCAATAAATACTTTATAGGTATATATTTTCTCCTCAGTCTAGGATTATGGATTACATTTATTTTTTTAATTAATTTTTTGGTACGTGCCCGTAGTGGGAACCAAACCCAGGACTCTCTGGTCTGCAGGCTGACGCTCCAACCACTGAGCCAAACCGGCCAGGGCGAATTACATTTATTTTTTTCAGTCTTTTTGACCATGGTATTTTTGAAGTGTAGAGGCCAGTAACTTTGTAAAATGTGCTTTAATTTGAATTTGGCTGATATTTACTCAATGAGATTCAATATTTACATTTTTGGTCTACAGTACAGATTTATTTTAGGTTCTCTGACCTGCTTAACATGATCATACAGAGGTTTGTATGTTCTTGTGCTAAGAGCAGTTTGTAAAACTGAGTCTTGAGGGTTTCTAGCAGTAAGCAAGCACCAGTCAAAAAACACTAACTCCAAAAATTCACATGGTATAGTATATGGTACCATGTCATTAATGGATTTTGTTTTAATTTTCAGTTAGTGAAAAAGTTAAGCTGAATCACAGAATTAGTACTCTTAAGTGGATATAAATGACCAATGGTGAGATTAAAAATAAATCAGTTGAAAACTACATTTTCATGGAGCAGACAGGAATTGTACTAAATAGTCTTATCAACAGTGATCATCTTCTAATGCATTTTACTCAGCCAGAAAAGTGAGTTCCATTTTACTTTTGTTCACTCTTTTAGTAAGCACTTGTATTCTGTGATTTTTCTCTGCCAAGAACATCCAAGAACTTTCTGGGGGGGGGAGGTTTGTTTGTTTTTTATCCTCACTTGAGGACATTCTTACATTTATCTTCAGATAGAGCAGGAGGGAGAGAGGAAGAGAGAGAGAAACATCGATGTGAGAGAGACACATCGAGGGGTTGCCACCCACAAGACCCCAATCAGGGCTGGGGACAGACTGCAACTGAGGTACGTGCCCTTAGCAGGAACCGAACCCAGGACACTCTGGTCCGTGGACCAACGCTCTAACCATTGAGCAAAACTGGCCAGTGCTGTTTGTTTTGTTTTTTAAATATGTTTTTATTGATTTTTTTAGAGAGGGGAAGGGAGAGAGAGAAACATCAATGTGGGAGACACATTGATTGGCTGCCTCCTGCACACTCCCTACTGGGGATCAAGCCTGCAACCCCAGCATATGTCCTGACCTGGAATACCAACCAGGACCTTAGTTCATGGGATGATGCTCAATCCACTGAGCCACACCAGCTGGGCAAGATTTGTTTTTTTTTATTTCTAATACTGATCAGGACAATAAAGTTTGTGGAGTCAAAGAAAACTAGGACTTCTATGCATGATTTTGTATTTTTCTCACACCTTTATTTATTTATGTATGTTCTTTATTGATTTTAGTGAGATAGGAAGGGAGGAGAGAGAGATAGAGACATTGATGAGAGAGAACATCAGTTGGCCGCCTCCTGCATGCCCCCCACTGGGGATTTGGCCCACAACCTGAGCATGTGCCCTGACGGGGAATCGAACCAGTGACCTCTTGGTGCATGGGTTGATGCTCAACCCGAGCCACAACCACCAGGCTTTTTCTCACACCTTTCTTACCTTGCAAAATGTCAGAAATTGTTTATTTTTCACATCTTTTTCAGATGTTTTCTGTATTAAATGTTCTCTTCTTCCTAAAGGTGAGGCTTCTGTACTAGCTATCTTCTCCATAACAGAAGGGAAGAAAAAAATTCCTGTGGCTGGCTGCAGAGTCCAAAAGGGACAGTTAGAAAAACCAAAAAAATTTAAGTTAATCCGTAACGGACATGTTGTTTGGAAGGGTAAGCAACATCAAATTGTTTCTATATTATTATATCCAGTCACCAAAACCTGACAATTCTCTGTAACTATCTTAAATCCGTGTTTTTCAATCTATCCTATAATCCTCATTTTTGCTGCTGCTTCTTCCTTGTAACTGGTCTCCAGTTGCTGGGTTCCCTCCCTTACTAGTTCTGAGGATTCCTCCAAGAGTGTTAGTCTGACTTTCTAAACTAAAAAACTACCTTTTCAGTCACGTCTCCTCCACGCTACATTATACTTGCTTACTTCCATCTTTTGACATTTTGCCTGGTTTATCTCATTAAAGTCCTGAGTACTATCCCATCCTCTGCAGCGTTACCCTGTCTTTAAAATGGGAGATTTAGTATCTTTCACTACAAATCAAATCTTGTTTACTTCATTTTTCTTTGATTTCCTTGGTATTTAGTCCTATTAACATGACAGGATTATAATTTTATAACAATTCAGTATAATTTTCCTTTTAACACCAGACAGACTACATAGCACTTAGGGAAGTGCTTATTTGTTGAATATATGAACCTTAAGTTTTTTGTCTTTTTTTTTTCAAAGGCTCTTTAACTTCACTGAAACACCATAAAGATGATGTTTCAGTCATCAAAACTGGAATGGACTGTGGTCTCAGTTTGGATGAAGAAAAGATAGAATTAAAAGTGGGAGATGAAATTGTTTGCTATGAAGATAAGGAAGTTCTAGCTAAGACCTCTTGGGATCCAGGATTTTAAAATTATATTAAAAATGTAAAAGATTAAATATCTTGCTTTTTTTATACAGCAACTAGTTTTGCTTTATTTGAGGTAAGAATTCACCACCACTGGTCACTAAATGCCAAAGCAATTCTGTCAAAATAGGAAAACTGATTATTTAAGGATGCCTTCAACTAGAAATCCTGGTATTGAGAATACAGTAAAAGGGAATTGTTGGCATATCACTGAATTTAATAATTAAGAGTTAATGAACTTCAAGAGTGGTCACGAGAGAAGCAATCCTCTGAAATGAGCTCCATGGACAAGATACGGTACCAAATACTGCTTGAAACTTATTTTTCAGTGTTGACTAATGAACATTAGTTTGAATTCCTGAGTTCACACTCAAAACATTTAACAGTAGTGTATTCCTTTGTACTGCAGACAGCAAACGTCCCAGCCAAACCACCCAGGGACTCAGGATGAATTTTTCAATCGGCTTACAGCTCAGCCTTTAAATTTCCTGTGTATGAAATGTCTTAACCTTTTTTGGGCAATGTTTTGACACCAGTTCACAAATCAGTGTTCCTCATTCTGGGGAGAGGGGTTGTTCTCCCTCACCCAGGGGCCATTTGGCAACTTCTGCATTCACTCTTGGTTGTGGTAATGGGGATGGAGCGCTACTGACATTAAGTGGGTAGAGGTCAGGGATGCTGTTCATCATCCTATGATGCTCAGGGCAGTCCCACCAATTATCTGGATCCAGCCCTCACCTCTGTGACTCAGTTGGTTGGAGTTATCATCCTGTACACCAAAAGGTGGTTTGATCCTCAATCCAGGCACATGCGTGAGGTAACCAATTAACGTTTCAATTAACGTTTCTCTCCCTTCTCTAAAAGTCCATTTAAATTTTTTAAAAAGTCGATAGTGCTGAGGTAAAAAAACAAACTGACTTATTATCTAGACAGCTGATATTAAGTATAATGGAATTATTCTGCCAAAGTATAGTTTTTCAACTTGATCCACCAATTTGACTTTTTAAAAAAAATCACTGGAATAAAACCCAACAATAAAATGTTAGCTCATGTCTTTTATTAACCCATGTACAAATTACTTGTCTTCTGGTTTGTTGAAGCAATAGGTCAGACAACATTTGCCACAATAATGTCTGTCAAAGTGGCTGGCCATAAAAACTCCAGCGCCGCATTCATCTGAAGGGCACTCCCGACGAAGGCGACTGATTTTGCCATTCTCATCCACCTAAAAAGTACAAACCTGCTGTTAATATAATTTTTTAGTATATATTGAAGTCTAATTTAAGTGACACAAAATGCCAAACATTCTAATCACACAATGGTGGTTTTTAGTAATTACAAACCAAGCATTCCAAATCCTCACCAGTAATTACTACAGTAAATAAGTTCAGGGCTCATTGAAGTCCAGCCTTGCAAGTGGTAGACTAAGCTAAGACCTGAACCCAGATCTGACTTCAAAATCAAAACCCTAGTTTGGAACAAGCAGCTAAAGGTAAACCCCATAAGCTAAAGCTTGTTCAAATATCAAACAGGAAAAAAACTTTCACATTAAAGAGTTTGAAACCAGAGATGCAATCATTTATGAACCTATAAGCAAAAACTTTAAAAAATAAATTGGCTCACTTTGTAGTATTTCAGGACAGCCAGCTTAACCTTCTTTCTCTTATGCTTACTCTTCTTGGGAGTGGTATAAGACTTCTTCTTCCTTTTCTTAGCACCACCACGAAGTCTCAACACAAGATGAAGAGTGGACTCCTGTTAAAGAAAAAAAATAATTACATTAATGCTCATGCTACATTAACTACCACCTCGTACCTTTCTAATTGGACCAAGAGGAAGTACACAAGACCACAGAAGAGGGGAGTCTTCAGGGAAAGAGTCTTGACTCTTAGTTTATAGGGAGATTAAAGAACACATTACGTTACACCACGGGATGCAATCTGCAAAATCCAGAATGTGAGAAACTAGAGCAGTGCTTCTCAAATGTTAGTGTAGGAGTTACCTGGGGAATCTTGCTAATCTAATGCCAGTCTCCTCAATTTTGTCTATTTGTCAAAAAACTTAAGATTTGTTTATATTTAAAGGGCTGCTCTTTCCAACATACCTTTTGAATGTTGTAGTCAGACAAAGTGCGTCCATCTTCCAGTTGCTTGCCAGCAAAGATCAGTCTTTGCTGGTCAGGAGGAATTCCTAACAAAAACACAAAAAACAAAAAACACAAATTAAGGGACAGAACAAGCCTCTCTGCTCAAGATTTACAAATTAACCCTGAATCAAATGGTACTAATAGCTGTCAGAGTTCGTTTACTGCAGTCTAAGCACGGTTTAAAAAGTTTACAGATTCTACCTCAGAATCGTTAGCAATAATTTGTACATGTTAGTATAATCTTCACTTTGCAGATGAGGAAATGGGTGTAAAGAATTAATAGCTCATTCAAATTCACACATGAGAATGCACTGCAACTTGGCTCCATGCTCACAAACACTGTCTGCCTGTTATTCCAGAATTTCACTTCACCAATCTGACCGCTTCCCACCCCACCTACAGCACGCAGGTCTAGCACGCAGGTCTAGCACGCACGCCTAGCACGCAGGTCTAGCACGCACGCCTAGCACGCACGCCTAGCACGCAGGTCCAGCACGCACAGGCAGGCTGGAGCCTCTGGGGATCAGTATTTCCGAACCAGAAAATACTACTTGCCTTCCTTATCCTGGATCTTGGCCTTTACATTTTCTATTGTATCCGAGGGTTCAACCTAAGAGTTGTAAAATGCACGTGTCGGTAACAGTAGAGAACTGGAACAAATGCTCACTTCAATCCGAGGGTTACCACAGAGCCGAGCCGGTGGGGGCTGCAGCTTCCCCAACAGGGCTGATCCCTCAGGCGGTGGGCAGCCCACCTCCCCCGACTGCCACCGGCGAGCAGCTTCCTGGCCCCGCCGGGGGCGGGCGGCGGCGGGCCCCACGTGCTCTCCCACCCGCCCCACCGAGCACCCCTGCTGCTTGGGTGGCCCGGCCCGTGCCACTCGAGGTGATGGGCCCCAACTTGAGGCGTGCAAAACCAGCCCAGGACCCGCTCAGCAGACCACCCTCCCTCAGGGCCAGGCCTCAGAACGCGGGCTCGCAGACTCGTTCTGGGTAGAAAGCTCCTCCGGGCCTGTCTCAGGGCTCGGCTTCCCCACACCACCTGGCCCCATACCTCGAGAGTGATGGTCTTCCCCGTGAGGGTCTTCACGAAAATCTGCATCTTGGCGGCGACGCCACCTGAGGCGGAGGGAAGAGAAGAGACGAGTTAGACCCGGGGACGCAGGGGAGGGGGAGCTGTAGGCCGCGGCCAGGGAGCCGCCAAGAAGCACACACTCACCGCAGATGGCGGATCGGAAAGGAAGAGCGCCGCGCAGGCCCAGAGGGTTCACCGGGCGCCGCCGGAGGCCCTGCCTCTTAGGCGGCCACACCAGATGCCTGACTGCTGTCACAGAGGCTGTCTAACCACACGCCAGACTAACTCGTGAACCACATTTCTACACTCTCTAGGTTGGGCTTATTTCTCACTTTACTCTCCAGTATACTCTCGAGATAACAGATTTAAACAACGTAAAACTGTCTTTAAAAGGCTTTTCCCATATAGTAATGTGGCTAAGAGGGTCTTAAGGGGTGGGGAGGGGGGAGGGGGCCTCCTGGAGGAAGGGGAGGAAATGGACGTGGCTTCTGGGAGTCGTAGTTTTGCACTGCTTCCTCTGGGCGGGCCTACTGGTCCCAAGATGCAGTTCCACACCGGGTTCCGTAGTCACTGTCCCCAAGCGCCGGAGTAGGGGTTTGGAGAAAGGGGCTAAGCTGGAGGGAGGGTGGAGCGGAGTCATGCTCTCGGGGAAGGTGGGGACGGGTCGGAAATGAACTAGGGGGAAAGGGTGAGAGGCTGCGGGAGGGTAGTGGAACGGGTGTGGCTCAACTGGTCACAGAGGCGGTTAGGGGCCAGGGCTCAGCCATCCACCACCGGCTGCCCCCGGGCCTGCAAGGGAAGGGCGTTCTGTGGCTAACTCCAGGCAAACTGAGAAATGGGTGACTTCAGAGCCCCTCCACCTTCAACCTCAAGTCTCTGCTAGTGGAAGGACGGCGCTGGGCCTGGTTGTCGTGTGAAACGACTTAACATGTTGAAAATCTTAGGACCGGTTTTCAAATTTTATCTTTTTAAATCCTCACCTGAGGCGGTACTTCCGTCGAGTTTCAGATAGAGTGGAAGGGAGGAAGGGTGAGAGAGGGAGAAAGAAACATGGACGTGGTCATGGATTGGTTGCCTCCCACACGACCCCCACCAGGCGGGAAGCAAACCGGCAACCCAGGTAGTGCCCTGGACCGGGGATCGCACCCTTCCGTGCGCAGGGCCAGCGCTCTAACCACCGAGCCAAACCAACCAGGGCTGGTTTTCAAATTTTGAAAAAGCCAACTGGGAAAGAAATCTGCTGCATGATTATTTAATTATAGAATTTCCAAGTTTGTACGTTGTGAGTGGTGGGGAAGGTTCTGAGGGGAAGACTTGGGAGTATGTGTAGGATGCTCTCCTGGCAATGTGGCAAATGAGAAGGGAGTTCTGTCCTTACCTTGGCCTTCTTCCCCTGCACAAACGCGGAATCCTTTCCAATGTGTCCTCCTAAGGCCATCTCTTTATCTGTGCCTTCTCCTCTGCATCCCCATCTCTAAATCCAGGCCCTCCTTAATTTTCTCCTGGAAGTTTTCAGTATCTAACTTGTAACCCGTCTCCTTTTCTAATCCACCTTCATTTTTGTCTCCAAAATATTCTAAAAAGTAGAGTAGGTCACCATTCTCCTTCACCTTCATGATAAAATCCAAATTCTTTAGTATGATATTCAGCCTCTACCCCCCCTCCCCCACTTTACATCCTAATCTGCCAAATCTATTACTATGTATATACTATTGAGGTTCCTGACTTTGGCACTTCTGAAGAATTGATTTCTTCTTCCTGGAATATTTGGCCCATATTCTTCCAACTAGCCATCATCTTTACA